TGGTTCATGTTTAAAATTTGGTCGTTTATTGTGTCAGAAAATAATTAGAGTGAAAAGTTTCGTATTTTTGTTCAGTGTGCTTCGTAGTCCGGCCCTTGCTCAGACCTTTGTTTCAGAGAACCTGCAGTGTTTCGCGGCGTACGCGTTTTTGTACCACTTAGCTGCTGCTCGTTCTTTGTTGTCGCCGCATGATTCCGAACTGAAAATTTTTGTAACAACAGATGCTTCGGTTTGTTCGACACGCGTGTTTGTTAAGGGGTCTGGAAAAAAGCTCAGGTACTTCGGTCGGTTGATGCTCCGGTTGTATTGCAATTCTTTGGTTGTCATCCAAGTGACCATCGATGATAGAAGAAAAAGAATTATGCAGAGTATGAAGACAAGAGCCGTCGTGTTTATCAGTTTCATCACGGATTCTACTTCAGATGCGTTTGTACTCTGCAAGCGTTTCTGGAGAAAATCTAAAAAAATATAAAGAGCGTTTAAAAATTTCAAGCAACCGTGCAAAGGCTAGCGTACCTGATTTTTCTCTTCTATTTTTGCTTTCAAGACAGGGTATAATGTTCATTTGAGCAATTCCTGAGGTATCTGAAATGTTTTTAAGTTTTAAAGTATCATCTGTACGCTCATCGTTACATGGAGCAAACAAACACTACAAACGAATGCTTTTTTAAAAAAGTTTTTAGATTTAGAAGTTAAATTATTTTAAATTGATGTTTATTAAAGCTTAGTATTTAAATTAATGAACCATCGAGCAGTTAATGAAGGAAATAAATACTGGTTGTTAGGAAGTCGGCCAGAGCTTGCACCTGCTGAAGTTCAAACACGTTACTGAGACTTGCAGCACTTGAAGTCAAGGCGAAGCTTGAAACTGTGACGTCATTTATTGACGTAAAACTAATAAATTTAAACGTCATCATGAAGAAAATATTTTTTAACTGCACAAGTACAAGAAGTAAAAAAGCGCTGATGATGAATTTTATGAGCAAATCTTCGTTGAATGTGCATTTTTCAACTAGTTCAAAGTTGAAGTTTTCGTTGAAATAAGATGGATATAATGGATTGATGGAATGATGAAAACAGCTTATGGAGTTGCTTCGAGAGTATTTGCTGGCATGTTGGGTTGATTGGGGTGTCGAATGATCGCCTAAAGCCGTGTAGGTGTTGTGGTAGAGCGTGTTCCTGCAATTAACATCATTATTTTTGACGCTCAGTAGTTTGTGGTTTTCCTTCGGCGAGTCGCTGTAGACGGCTGACGTGTACAAGGATTTGAATGCTAGTGTGTCATGCGGAGATTTGCTTGGTGTTTTCTTTTTTATTGGGTCTACTCCGTATATTTTTATAGACAGATACAATTTTGTCAATCTATAAAACACGGTTACAATATCTAGAAACATAAAGATATAATATGCAAAATTCACATTCGGCTTCCGAATATTCTTCTGTACTCGATCGTGATCAATTTTATCAATGATATTTGTGAACGCGAAAAAAGTTCTATGGTGATTTATTATGATTTTTTCTTTGATTTTTCTGTCACTTGATGTGAATTGTTTGGTCAGCGAATGGTAACCTAAATGATGACCAATCGATGATTTCGTCACATTTATTGTCAGGGGCAAAAGAAGCTTTGTGTAAATCGATTCGTGTGCTTTGAAAAATCTGAAAAATTTTTTTTCAATTGTTAGTCTCTTGATATTTTTAAAAAATAATGTTTTTAAAGAAGAAAATAATTTAAACAAAGGTCACAATCGTTGAATATGTAGTTGATATACATGAATTGTCTTCAAAAAGTAAGTGAATTGAGGGAAAAATAAGTTTTCAGAGTTAAATAGACGATGTTTTAGGTTAAGAGCTAGTTTATTGACCACAATCCTTGATGAGCCCTAGTTTTTCTTTACTACTGATTGAAAAATAATCTGCTTGCATTCGTTATTTAGTAACAAAAAACTGATTAATCATTCTAAAATATCAATAGGCAAACAAATCATCAATAAACACGCAAACATGAAAAACCTGCTTCTCCAGTTTCTCATTACGATTTCGCAAGCATTCGAACAGCACGTTTGACAGAAGTGTGCCTCCACAAGCTGAAACATCGGCAGCTTCATGTTTTCAACGTTAGCCAGTCCGGCAAGTATTTTTAAGAATAGGAACCATTTATTGTCAACTTTCCTGTTTCGAAATTGCTTTCTACCCATGGTTAACCTCGTCAGATCGTATTTTTCTTTTTTCATGTTAACTCGGGAGTTGTTTTTCATCTTGTTTATGGGCTCTGTTAATTTGCTGACAAGTTCGTTGGTTTTGTTGTGAAGAGTTTCTCGATGTGTGTTGGATGCGTTGGAAATGATGCTGACAATTGAGTCGATGTACCTATCACAGGATAATGTCTGTTGACTGTTAACATTAATGAGGTCCAGCAAATCTCGTCTATCCTGAAACTCAAACTTTTGCAGCAGTTTGTAAAGTTCTTCCTTTTTCCAAAGTTTGAATGACTCGAACCCGTTCTCAAATTGAAAATTTTCATGAATCCAAAAAATGAACAAGCAGGATACAATGGTGAAAGTAATTAGGATGCTGTAGATTATTTTTGCAACGACGAAAAAGACTACAACCACCTTGATGACGGTAGTGGCAGAAGACTGACAGAGATTCTTCTTCTTCTTCTCGCCACTTGCGAGAAACAAGTTATCCAACCGAATTTCAGCATCAAATGTCGTCTGGTGGTAAAGATGGAAGTAGGGGTGGTTCTTTCCAGAGAAGCCCTTCTTACGATTGAATTTCAACTTTATGCAGAAAAATGTGAAGAAAAGACATGTGAGGTTGAATGAAACAAACAGTGTAGCAGCCAGCGTGGCCACAATTATTAACCATAGAGATATGGTTTTTTGCTCTTTCGCAGTTTTTTCTGTAATTTTTTTATTCGCTGATTTTGAAATTTCTCCAAGTTTATCACGACTATTGTGAAACAACACAGTGACGTAAACTCTGCTAATCATTTTCGTGTCATCTATGGATATCGCAAACGTTTTTTCGCTTTCGCTCGCTGAGAGGCCGTGAGTGACGTTCTGAATGATGACGTCAAATTTGGTTCCGTCAGAAATGAGAAGGTCAAGTTTCACAAGTTCCTCATTCTCGTTCACATCCTCCATGCTGATGCTCAAATAAGTTTCTACCTGGTTCGTTTCACCTTTCAAATCATGGTGTGGTGAAGATGATTGTGCTGAAGATGATTGCGCTGAAGATGATTGTGCTAAAGATGATTGCGCTGAAACTTGACGATGTGGTGGGAGAAGAATAATGATGACGACGAACGTAGTGGTGGTAATTGTGAAGGTTTAAAAAGCGATTGTCGGTTTAATAAAAATATATGATTTGGGACTAGTAGCTGAAAATTATTCAAATGCGTTACTAATAAATTTGATTTTATTTGAAACATTTTAAACTTTTTGTAAAAAAATAAAGTAAAAATCTCAAACGTGAGTAACATTTCCAATACATTAACAAATAGTTACGTGTTAAGAGAATGAATAAAATTAAATTAGGGTCAGTTCAACACAGAAAACAATAAACCAAATCTAATCTCCAAACCTAATTAGAAAACAACTTGAAACTAAATTAAAACAAAATAAACGCTGATACATTTTTCTTCACAAATAAAATAAAAAAAACAATAAAGATGAAATGAAAAGAAAACTGGACAAACCATGCAGGGAGATACTCATGTATTTTTCCTCCATGAAAGACAGATTAGCGTGGAAGCGAACCAACCGTGACCGACCGTCTTCAGCTCCGAACCATCTCCTTAGTAACGATGCATTACCTTCGTGTGCAGATGAGAATGCTTTTGTTTTTCAAAATTGGCAGACACAAGTGAAAAATATATGGTTTGTGTGCTTTATATGTATTAATATGTTTTATATGTTTATTTATATATACCTATATATAGGTGCTGTCTAACATCGATTTTAGTTAAAATTTAAAGAATTACAATTTTATTCGAAAAATTTCACTAAATTTATGAAAGTTGCATTCAATTGTCTAGACCAACATTTTACAGGAAAACTTGCAAAAATCAATTTGCTGACAAAGCAGACATTGTAACTTCACCGTGATCGTAACTAAATTGCTAAGATAATTTCAAAGCGATACTAAACTATTATGAATTACAATTAACTATAATGCATCTATACAATGTATTTCAGCAAACCATAATTAACTGAAATGATTCAATAATGAATTATGAATAATAAGAATAAATTATGATAAATAAACTGACCATCAAGGTGCAGTTTCAAATGTGGCCTCTCTCCTACCCTAGTAACAATGTACTCAAAAGAATTCGACAACTTCTGGACTCTCGTCACATTAACCTGTACCTCGTTATCGTTAAGAACCCGCCGATTTTCATCGTTGCTAGGAAGCAGATTGTCAATCGTGCCGCGACAGTGGCTGTCGTCGTTCATGAACCAGTGGTTGATGTGGTGGCGTTGGTTGCTTCTTGAGGGGTTTTTGAGGTCGACGGAGACAGAGAGATAGTGAGGTGGTGAGTGTTGGTGACGTTTGAATGACCAGATGTTGTTCAGGTCTGACTTGGCTTGGTTAAGTTCTACTTGCCTGACAAAATAAACTAATTCGTTGTGGGTTGATAGTGACGACGATAATGATGATGACATAGATGATGATGATGCAGATTGAAATGGTAACGAATGGTATTGATGGAAATTTATAATTGATGATGACAGTCCCGATGACGTTGATGATGACGTCATCAAGTTATTTTTATCCCCGACATCATTTTGAGGTTTTTTCTTAGCGATGAGTATGAGTTCGTCGTGCAGACTCAACCCTCCGTATTCGATTCTAAGGACGTTGTTTGGTGACGTGTGTGTGCCTTCCTCTGTAAGTTCTCGCCAACTTTTGATGTGTCTTGAAAATTTTGCAGTTTCCACGGACCTCGGTAGACTGAGATGATAAGAGACATTGAAGAGGGTTTCTGGTATTTTTTTGATCAGATGACATTGAAATGCAATCTCCCGGGTCTGGTATTGCTTTGAGAATGTTAGGCCTGATTGAGCAAAAAATGTTTGAGTGATGCATCGTCCGATGTGTTGTCTGCTGTCATGTCTTTTTGTTGTTGTTTGATTTGAGTTTTTGTTGTTGTTGTTTGAGTTTTTGTTGTTGTTGTTTGAGTTTTTTTGTGAAGTTTTTGTTTTAATACAGTACGTATATGTGCAAGCGTTTGTGTGTGTGTACGTTCATTGTTTTGCACTGTACTCTTGTTCTTTTTTTTTGTTTAGTGTTTGTTGTACACATACGCGTTCGTACAAAATGTACGTATTGATTTGAAGAATTATGCAAAATGCTAACTTTTCAACATTATTTGTAGATTTGTGTTTGTAAACTTCAACTTCATACGTATTTGCATGAGATGTTGGATTGAATGTTTGGTTGTCAATGTATGGTTATTTATGTTTTTCGGTTAGGTAATATCGCATAGGATGTTTGCTTAATGTCGCATGTACAGCCTTGTTAGACGCCTATGTATTCATAATTACTGGTTTCAGCGTTGTTGAACAGGCATGTCAATTAATCTGGGTTTATATCCTATTTGCCTTTCGCATTAATTATTATTAATATTTTCACTTGAATTTATTATTAACACACAATAAATTTTAATTAATTATGTCAAAAAAAGTTTAAAATGTTAAACTTACACACAAATGACAAACCAAAATAATTTTAAAAAGAGAACACAATGTAAGACCTCTGATGCACTGATGATGACCTGCACATTCAGTCGGCAGCAGTTGGTCGTTGGCTGGCTGCTGGCAGTTCCCCACAGAGCAATCAACTTCGCAACAATCCTTCAACCCGCCATCAAATGTTTCTTAAAAGAAGTTAATACATAGTTGCAGTCAAATTTATAACTTGCAGGCCAGAATTAATTTTTTGTTTTTAAATTAGATGATTAAAAAATCTATAAAGTATACCAAGAATTAAACTACACATGAACTGTAGGTACATTTCAAAATACTTTCGGTTATCAACTTAATGTCGTAGTCTTAGCCAAAGATGTTTTTCTGTCCTCAGCTGACAACAAAAACTTTTCTAGGAAATTCATTTTCAAAATTAGTTTTTTGACCAACAAAACCCTCTAACAAACAAAATAATTCTTAAAAATTATTAACAACCCGACAGACACAAATCTTTTGACTGTACACAGATTTAAAAGTAAAAAAAAGTGATACATAAATGCCTAAGCAAGTATTGAAATTGCCATACATTTTATTCACACCTATGATATACGCACACAGGTTGTAGATAAGTTGTAAACGCTGGCCGTCGTGGATAAACGCCTTAAGTTTGCTACTAAAAATCTCCCTGAATAATTTATTAAATGGCATCGAAATTGTTTCTTGAAAGAGAGAAAGAGAGTAAGAGAGAGTAAGAGAGAGAGAGGGAGAGAGTAAGGTAAGAAGAGAGAGAGAGAGAAATAGAGAGAGAGAGAGAGAGAGAAATAAAACGAATGATAATTTAAAAGTTGTTAGTGCTTTTTGCATTTTTTCCATGAAATTACTGTTTATGTCGTCTGAAGGAGGTTGTCCATTATTCAGCCAAGGTAAGCATTTACAAAAATTGTTTTTTCACATACCCATACACTTACAAACACACACACACACACACAGACATACACGTATCAACACTGATATCACATAAATAAAAGGAATATTTTAATATTTTTACAACAAAATTTATACATTTCTGCCCAAGACGTGTTATAAAGCACACATAATACAAATGCACTCATAAGCATTCAAACGCAAGCACATGCACACAAATACAATTCCAAAAGATATAAACAAACGAACGAACGAACGAACGGAAGAACGAACGCCCACCCATTTAATACGCCTTCCTACACCTGAGATGGCTTTAAATTTCTATATAAAAGCAATGTTGTTTTTATTTCTCAGACAATGAATAACGTTATGAGAAAAACAATGTAATATTTGTATGTATATCTATGTGTTTATGTGTGTGTATGTATGTATGCTTGTATATATGTATGTGTTTATGTGTGTGCGTATGTATGTGTGTTTAAGTATGTATGTGTGTTTAAGTATGTATGTGTGTGTATGTACGTATGTATGTATGTATTTATGTATGTTTGTTTGTATATATGTATTTATAATTGTATTTATAATTGCTTTTATTTATAATTGTGTGTATGTACGTATGTATGTATGTATTTATGTATGTTTGTTTGTATATATGTATTTATAATTGTATGTATGTATGTATGTGTGCATGTGCGTACGTATATATGTATGTATATGTGTGTGTGTTTGTGTATGTGTATTTTTGTAAATATAAATAAAATATAAATCGCTTTATATTTAAGAAATATTCTGATGAGAAATTCTTTTGTATAACTTCAGACATACATTATTCTGGAAAAATAAAATGTATAGAAAACATCTTTTTCTGTTTTTCATTTGTTATTTATTTTATTTGTTTTTTCTGTGTTTTATTCTACCTGTTTAATGTTAACGCATGCATTGTTGAGTGTGTGTATGTACCATGTACGTGTGCCTTAAAGTCAAGTTTTTACATCTTCTTTTATGCACCCCAAGTATGGATAAATGTGATACATGCATTTATACAATCAAAATAATTATATAAACAAAAAATTTAGGTTTATTAATTATGTGTGCGTGCGTGCGTGTGTGTGTGTGTGTGTGTGTATAGGTGTGTGTAATATTTGAGTGCTATCAAGCTTGAATATTTGATTGTTTTAGTTGCATTGTTGGCAGATGCAGAAACAGCATGATGTATGCGTATGTCATAATGCTCTATCAGGCTTATCTCTATTGTTTTCGACGAGACCAACATCATTTTACGCTATTTGACTTAAACTATCTAGATGATATGAGATGATATCACGTAAAATAACACAAAATGATGTTTCTAGTCAGAGTAACAACTAAAAATGAACTTAGATAATACCTATATATAGTGCAATGTTAAGTGCAATGACAGTTGATAAAATAGTTAGCAGGGCGGCTTATAAACAGATTAAATTGATTGCAATGATTGCAAACAAAAAAAACGTATTATTCGTTTATTTAAACTATTAGACCTACAAATTTATACTTCCATCATTCAAGCTGAGTTTATGTATTTACTCTGAAACCACTGATTTTCAAAAAATTTGGTTGAAGGGATTATTTTTGCGATGTAGGTGTTTTCTGTCACCAAATCGGGTAGGGTTTTAACTAGATTTCATTTCGTACACCGTAAATCAGGGGTGGGCCAACTTTTTTTCTGTGAGGGCCGCATTGAGGACTATTTTATCTTTAAAGGGCCGCAAATGTACTTGAATAGCAAATTTTTTCGACCCGGGGGAGAGTTTTTTAAGATTTGTGGCTACTTTTTTTGGTTATAATGTCTGGCTGACGACCTTTTTTTGGCGAACAAGGCCTTGCGGGCCGCATAAGATTAAGATAACTTTGCGGGAAACCCGCGGACCGTAGTTTGCCCACACCTGCCGTAAATCAGTCATTCAGAAATTTCTTTCCAGAAAAACGGTTTTGATATTAATAATTAGTTATTTTTGATTTCGTATAGGCCATCTTCATGAACTAATCAAAAGGATCTTAAATAAATTTTTATTTTTTTTTAGATAAAACTTTCATTGAGTCGCAAACTGAATGTGTCGTATCAATTGTATCTTGAAGACACTGTAATATGTGAACACGTGAACTAACTTAATATTATAAGGGGATACATTTCAAAAGTAACTTAAACCAATAAAAAATTTCTCTTGTTCTTTTAAAACAAGCATTTAAAATTTATGGAATCTTTTGTTTTAAACATTAAATCTCGGATGTCAACTTTTTCATGTTTTTTTTTCTTCAAACTTTGTCTAAAAAAATAAATTAAGAAAACAATGTGTGTGTGTGTGTGTGTGTGTGTGTGTTGTTGTAGTATGTTAAAGTGTTCATGCATGTGTGTGTGTACGTGTGTGTGTTGATGACTGTAAAGGGCCGTATTTGAAGCAGGATAGGCCGGGCTACAGTCCCGGAGCTTCCACATATGAGACACACCCACACAAAATGTAAATGTAAATGTACAAATTTTTAAAAACCCCTTCTTTCTATGATGCTGAATGTTAAAATCTTTAGAAGCTTTAACTAAAAAATTATGGGACTTCTACATTCAGGGCCTTCACATCTACTCAAAACTTGACTCTGTGTATGTATGGATGTATGTCTATACGTACGTGTGTGTATGCACGTACGTGTGGATGTGTTTGTGTGTGTGTACGTATGTATGAATGTGTATGTATTTATGATGGTGTATGTACGTATGGTACGTGTGTGTGTGCGCGCGCGTGTTTATTAGATCTTAACAACTTTGTTGTGATTTATAATTTTTCGCAACCAGGAGAAATTTTCCCAAAACTCAACACAGCAGAACTTAACGTGGTTATTTGTTCGGCGGAATTGTAAGCAGGCAGTGTTTGTTGCTGCAATGTCTCGAACTCCTTTGCATATTTCATCCCTCCGCCATCAATTATGCCGACGGTCTGATTAGAAATTTTTATAACGAATTTTTGTTGTTTATGAAAATTATTTTTTATCATCACGATTATTTACTAACATTTTTAGCTATAAATTATTATTATTATTATTTAATAATTTTATTTCCGAGTTTTTCTGTATAAACGGTGTTTCATCAGCCGAATGTATTTATGATATGGCTTGTGCATCATGCTCTTGGCAGGCACTATAAAATGAACCAGATATATTAATGAAGCAAATGATATAAATAAAAATAATTATAATAACAATAATAACAATAATAATAACAATAATAATAACAATGAATAATAGCAATGATCATAACTATATAAAATGTAGGGCAGAGAAAAACACATTTGAAACAATTAATATTGTATATTATTTATTATTGAGTTCAAAGTTTTGTCAAGGTCATGTTTGCGCTATTAATAAAAATACAAATAATAACGAAAATATAGATAACTATATCACTATTATTATTATTATTATTATAATTATTATTGTTATTATTATTATTATAATTATTATTGTTATTATTATTATTATAATTATTATTGTTATTATTATTATTATTATTATTGACAATGATACAAATAATAATAAAAATAAGCATCAACAAAAAACAAAATCAAAAATAATAGTCGTTATATAACAGCAATTACTACTACTACTACAAAAACTACTACTACTGCTACTACTGCTACAATTTCTGCTACTACTACTACTACTACTACTACTACTACAACTAATACGACTACTACTACTACTACTACTACTAGTACTACTACTAAAACTACTAATACTCTACTACTACAACAACAACTACTACTTTTACTACTTCTACTGCTACTACTACTACTACTACTACTACTACTACTACAGCTACTACTAATATTCTACTACTACAACAACAACTACTACTACTTTTACTACTTCTACTACTACTACTACTACTACACAACTGCTACTACTTCTCTACTACTACAACTAATAATAATAATAACATTATTCATAATAATAATAGAAAAAGCAACAACAATAATAATAATAATAGCAATAACGGTAATGAAAATAAATGTAAAAATAGTTTAATTTAAGCAAAAGCTTCCTGGGAGAAAGATTTCAATAATACACACACACACACAAACACACACACACATACACACACATTCACACACATATATACACACACATGCACATACACGCGCGCACACACATCCACAAACACACAAACAAACACACACAAACGGACACACAAACAAACACCACACACACCATATTACAAATAGATACATACGCGCGGTGTTGGACAAAATGATGAAAAGAAAAGGAAATATTAATGATGGTAAGAACATGAAAGAGAAATGTCATTAACATTCTTCATAATTTCTTTCAGGGAGAGAGCAGATGAGGAAAAGAATGAGAAATCAATTTGTATTTTGAAAAAAAAAACATTTCTATGCAAGAAAATTATTGCTTCTAGCGCCTTTTCATTTCGTATGACGGGAGAAATATTTTTAAAAGACTGTTTTCTGAGATTATTACTTTTCTTTAATTTTGGTTAAAATTAGTTTTTCCTTTATTTTGCTGGCTCTTTAATATTTTTGTTTGTTTTTGTTTGTTTTTATGTTTTTTTAAAATGTTGGTTTGCTTTTGATTGTACACGATATTCAAATGTTTTTTCTTTTGTAGGTTTTTTGTTTGTATCTCAGTGTAAGTTATCTAAATGTTTTTTCTTTTGTATGTTTTCGTATCTTTGTATATTTGTTTTTATAATTTTTAATTTGATGTCTTTGTATTCTGTGTATTTGTTTATCTTTCGACTTGTAGGTATATATTTATGCTGATGATAATTTAGGTAAGGAGTTATAAGTGTATATAGATATGTGTTGAAGTAGGTATGCAACTATAATAACAGTTAGGTTATAAAAATAATTCACGACGAGACAGCAAATTTACAGACATAAAGCAGCTCAATATAAGATAATATAGCGTATAATTAATCAGAGCATATAATACTTTGTACAATAAGAATGAAGTGACATACAATAGGGACTGACTGGTTAGAAGGAGTTAGACAACTAGTTAAGCTCTAGTGAGCAAGGTCTCCAAGTATATAATAGGCGAGCACACAAGTTGATAGAGTAGTCACTTTAACACGCCTTATGCTCTTGAACACTTCATATATACTTTTATACATTATCATCATTTGCGTTACTCTTTACATTTTAATTCTCAATTTCAAGTTTTGTTATTTTATTTCATTATATTTAATTGCAATTTAACAATAAAAATAATATTGACAATAATGGGTGAGTCGTTTCTCGTTCGATTTCCATTATTAAACTTTATAACATTTTAAACACTAACTAATACTCAACACACGTAAGTCGCCAATTAAAGCCATCTATCATTATTTCATGTACACGAACAATATCGAGTTATTCAACGTTGAGCGAGCGAGTTTACAGAAACAGAAAGAATTTCCCCAAGAACAAACCATGTTCTTCGTCCAGTAACCGTCGTAGGATGGTGAAGAGCCAGCAGTGTAACAATATATTTCTTTCTTTGTATATTTTAGCGTTTCAGTATCTTTGTATATTTGTTGTATCTTTTTATATCTTTGTATATCTGTGTATATATTTTTGTTTGTATATTTGTATATTATTTTTTGTATGTATATTTCTGTATATCTGTGTTTATATTTGCGTATATCTGTTCCTGTATGTATGTATGTATGTATGTATGTATGTATGTATGTATGTATGTATGTATGTATGTATGTATGTATGTATGTATGTATGTATGTATGTATGTATGTTAAAACCAAAACATGATGAGTGACACTGAACCGTCAAACATCAAATAACAAATGGATTAACACTTTGATTCGTCGTTAATTGCACATGTCGGCATTCAGTTGGATATTTTCAAGCACACAGACACGCAGGAACCGCTGCAACAAGCATGAAATGT